TATATATATATATATATATATATATATATATATATATATATAAGCTTGATACGCACACACAAACACACACACACACACACACACACATTGCTCTTTCTTCCTCCTATTGTTTGTTGTTTCTTCCTGACAACAGCAAACCAGTGGGTTGGCCTGAAAAACCCAAAGGTTATCTGGGAGACAGTGATAACTCAATAGACTGCGTATTATTGTTTACCTATCAAAGTCAGAAACATAAACAAATAAGAAGACATTTTGAAAAAAGGTGCTTGTGCCTTCTCAAGTGATAGAAGAAGAGGAAATAAACCATGCATTCTAGTTTAGCAACACGAGGAGAATAGCAGACCTGTTAGTTAAACAATGCTCAAGATAGAGGAGAGGCTGCACAAAGGAGGTTATGTAAATAAGGCAACATCCCAAGTACTCTGATCCCAAAATTAGTAATGCACCAGAGATGCTAACAGAAACAGTGTATTTGCAAGGAGGCAATTATGTTTAAAATTGCCACTACCAGATGGCTTTGATTAAACAGTGTTACTTTAATGCCCAACTCCTGCTCAGTGCTCTTGTTGTAGGAACACAAATGTCAAACTCATTGGAATGGGAACACAACATACTTACCAAACACTCCAAGCTAGAACTATTAATTACAGGTTTATTACTTTGAACCTTGCAGTCTTTGCTGAAAATATATTTGTACACATATTTGATTAACCAAGTTGTGGAGCAGTTCCCAGTGTGGCAGGTTCCTCCTGGGTTGCCAAAATAATTACCAGCATAGCTAATTTTGATTTACTATCCCTTTAAAGACTATTCAAAAGGTACGCAAATCTCATAGATATTTCTTTCTGACCTATTTCTTCTTCCGCTACAGAAATTATTATACTCCCCCCCCCTCAAAAAGACACAAATCAAAACAAAACACCAAGGCTGCATTGTGTGAGTTGAATCTTAAATTGCAGTCCCTAGAAAAGATGTAACATTCCTGTGCCTGTTAACAGTGCTCTACTGAATGAACAAAAACACAAGGTCAATGTCGTCCCCCCAAACCAATAACACACTTTTTTTTTTGATGGGAAGATCAAAATGTCTGTCTGAACATTAATTGAAGCTCTCTTCTAGTATGAGACACAACTTTCAATCAATGTGTGACCAGGGGTCCTCAGCAGCTGTCTCCTGCAGAAGAGCTTCTAGCTGGGGGGCCTTTATGCATATAGATTTAACATGATATAGTTCTTTTGTATTGGTCTGCTTTATATGCATGGATAATAGGGAGAAAAGTGGGAAGTATGCTTTATCAGCTTCTCTGAAACACTGCTATAGGTAGGGACTATCTGAATACATTAATATTGGGACATGTTCCCTAAAAAAGGAAAGGAACGAGAACAAAGAAGAAACAGCTTTAAAGCAAAGTATCAATGTTCTCATTCCAGAATGTTCATTCTATGAACATTCTATTATGTCCTTATAGCATAATAATAAAAACAAGGGTTAGAGCTACACAACAGAAATGAATTATCCACACGATGATGCCAGAGGGCTGGAAGTAGAGATTGCCCTTAGATATTTTATACCCCTTCCAGGGGTGGGATTCAAATTTTTTAACAACCGGTTCTGTGGGCGTGGTTTAGTTGGTGGGTGTGGCTTGGTGGTCATGTGGCTGGGTGGACATGGCTTGGTGGTCATGTTATTGGCTGGGCATGACCAACTCAACCTGACATCGAGGCATGCATCTCCTTTCCTGGCCTCTCATGACTGTGGGGATGCTGCAACAGTCGTAAGTGTGAAAAATGGTCATAAGTCACTCCACACAAGCAAAGTACCAGCAAAGGAGGGGAAAAAACTCCAGAGACATTCCTGAGACAGGAAGTCTAGTCCTGCCAAGAACGTAATAAGGGTTAATGGAGAGGCAGTTTCTGTAAGCAACACCAGCATGTTTCCTTCCTGCCTTCCTTACAGGATTAGGCCAGTAATTTCTTCTAACAACCGGTTCTCCGAACTGCTTAGAATGTTAACAAGCAGTTCTAGCGAATAGGTGCGAACTGGTAGAATCCCACCCCTGCCCCCTTCCCTGAGCACAATCCAGGGGTGGGCTGCTGGAGGCTCACAGGGGTTCAGGGGACCCCCTAGCTAAGATTCTGTGCAGTTCAGAGAACCCCCAAATCCCACTCCTGGCTGGCTCCACCAGTGGTGAGATTCAAATTTTTTACTACCGGTTCTATGGGTTGGTGGCTTGGTGGGCGTGGCGGGGGAAGGATACTATAAAATCTCCAGTCAGAGATGGAATTTGCCGGTTCTCTGAACTACTCAAAATTTCCGCTATCGGTTCTCCAGAACTGGTCAGAGCCTGCTGAATACCACCTCTGGGCTCCACCCACTCCACCCTGCCTCTCCCAGGTGTCCCCACATGGCTGCTGTTTTGGATGCAGGTAAGTGCAGAGTGCACACAGAGGCCCAGGGAGGCAAAAAAGAGCCTCCCAGAAGTTCAGAAAGGCTGGAAATGGGCCCGTTTCTGGCTTCCAGGGAGCCTCCGGAGCCTGGAGAGGGCAAAAACACCCCCGCACCATAGTGCAGGAGGCTGACTAGGCCATGCCTACCATGGCCACGCCCACCCAGCAACCGGGTAGAAAACCCTTTGTAAATTTTTTGAAGCCCACCCTTGGCACAGTCTACCTACTGCTTCCCTCTGTGCATCACTATCTTGATCTGCATCCCTACCTTTCTATCCCCTCCAGAGTTCTCTATTTGAAAATTGTTTTCATTAAAAAAAATTAGATACAGAATAAGGAATACATTCAAAGAGAAAAATAACAAATATGTGAAAAAGAAAAAAAAAGAGAGACAAAGATTAAAAAAAAGAACAGGAAACACACATTCACCTGAATATATATGGAAGGAGTGTCTGATCTTCTTGGCAATTATATAAGTCTAACCAAAGTTCTCTCTCTAAGATTACATCATGATTCTTCTTTTTAAATATTTTTTTATTCTGTCCCCTTCAGAGCTCATGGCCTTGGACATCTGCCTGCATTTAATGGTTACTAAGCTTCCTCCAGGGGTGGGATTCTACAGGTTTGCACCTATTCGCCAGAACCGGTTGTTAACATTCTAAGCAGTTCGGGAGAAGGCGGAGTCTCGTCGCTGCGATACAGCTGCTATCTCGGGGCTCTGAGATCGCTCTGAGATCGCAGCTGATATCCCCGCTCCTGGTCGGTCCCCACGGACCTAAACTGTCCCGTAGAGACGGTGATAGTAAGGGGCGCATTCTGTAGATCCCAGGGACATCGCAAGTCCCTGGTTGATCCAGAAGAAGCCCTTTTACCATCGGCGGGGAGGCAGCCATTAAGCTGCTGAAGTTGGGACAGCTCCGGAAGGAAGAGACAAAGAGAAAGTGTATCGGCTGGTGAGGATTCTTTTTTTTTTTTTCTACTTGGGACTTAAGGACACCCTAAAATGAGAAGGAATCTGTAAAATTTTTGACAAAATTTGACTTAGCGGCGATTTTTTCTTTAAGAATGTCAAAATGAGGCTTGGGTTTTTATTTTTACTTTTTTTTTCTCTTCACTGAACTTCTATTGCGATCTAGTTAATCAGACTGGTTTTTTCTTTTATATTTACTTGCTTTTCCCCCCTCTTTTTGACTGTTTATATTATATAAAATAGAGGCTCCCTTTAGTATCTTTTTTTAAATATATATATATATATATATACATAAACATATATATATACTCTTTCTTTTTTTTAGGCTTTTTTAGGGAGGAAAAGGGGGAGAGGTTTTAAGAAATTTTGCAACACTGCCAACTAGAGGCTTGAAAAGATTTTATTTGAAGTTGAGAGCTGGGAAAAGAAAT